ATATATTTTATTTTTTATATATGTATAAAAATATGCATAGTGAACATGAAAGCAGTACTTGAAAAATAACTGTATACCTTTCTATTGTTTGGTAGCCTATTTAATAAATATAGGAAGGAAATATATTTATGAAAATATTAGTATTTAAGTTTTTGCAGCTAATATTTTAACAATTAATGTTATATTTGAACTAAGATGTTTAAAAGCAGTGTTCTGGTGAGTAAATACTGTAAATAATACTTCTAGTTTTCAGAAACTTACGTGTTTTTAACTTGTAATAGTTTCTATATTTGTAAAATGTAGCTGATTGTGAATGGCTCTGTTTTGTACATACACTGTTTTTGATCTTAAAATGGAAGGGTATTTTCAGTTTTTATTGTTTGGTGTATCCTGTTGCTGTGGTAGAAATACAGGTAATCTGATTTTTTTCTTTTTTTTTTTTTTTTTTCCTCCCCCCCAACCCTAGGGTCTCTCTGAAAAAATGGGGAGTAGTAAGCTTGAACTGACAACTTTAAGTCTGAATGTTCTTCAGTCTCCAGATGGCTCCATAGGTAGGAGCCTAAAAAGGTCTTAGCTGTTAGTAGAAAAATTGTAGGTCGCCAACAGTGGGGCATTACTACTTATTAATATAGCAGATCTGCTTCAGTAGGAGTGCCGACCTGTTGAATAAGAGGCTTATGAAAATGGAGTCTTTTGATGTCGTGCAAAAGTTCTTCAGGCCAAAGTGACCATTAGGGAAACAACCTGTATCTTCCCAGTAAATGAATAATCAGAACTGTCATTCTCAATCAGGAATCATGCACAAGTTCATTTTTTATTTTCCTTTTTGTATTGCACTTTAACTGTTTGTCTTCAAACCCAGAATGCAAATATTATAGAAAAAAATTTTTAATTAAAACTTGTTCTTATAAAATCATTCCTAAATTTGAGGTCCAAAGCTATAGGCAACAAAGACACTGTAGTCCTTCTGCAGCAGTTTAGCAAAAACGTAATGCAGTTGACTTTAATGTCATGAATGAAGCCATGACGAATTTTTTTGTGGGTCTCTACATCACTGATAAGTATTTACTCAGTTATTTACTTTGAGACAATCCAGGAGGGTAACCTGACTAAATTCCTTCTGTTTTTATGCAATGAAGCTGAAGCATGAGTAGGAAGGTTATTGTTTGACTAACCTACATGTTTGTACTTAATTTGCAGCGTAAGTGAATCTCAGAACTATCTGTGTTAATCTTATGTTTATAGGCCATGCTATATTTTCTAACAAGCTAATTAGTAAGCATCATGTAGAACACTTCTGATCACGGGTCTGTCTTCTGTCACACTGAGACTAAATTATTGTGACAAAGTATAATCAAATCCCGAAGTTGTACGACATGGTGTACTGTCACATTGTCAAAAACTTAATCTGTATGTTTCTGGGATCTCCCGTTGCCCTGTTGGATGATCTGTGTCCTGTTGATCACCTGTCAAATTAGTAGCACTCCCTGTAAAATACTTTGTGGACTCTATGACCTTCTTAATAGTGGAAACTTTTCACCAAGCTGTCATTGCCCCTTTCAGTACTGACTCTGAAGGTAGTAGTACATCTGAATTTTTTGGTAGGGTAACAGATTACCTTTGGGTCAGTGGGTTTATTTTTCTGAAGAAGTAATACTTACTTTGAATTTGCTCTTAATATTTTAATCTATATATAGTATCATAGCAGATTTATGGCAGTTTATGAACCAACTTCTTGTTGAGTGTTTTCATAGCTAAGTTTTGATTCGGGACATGAGGTTGGTAACTGCAAAAAAAAAGTCACATTAACTTTTTCTTTTTTCCTTCCTGATATTTTTTTCAATTTACATGAAATAATGTGTTTCTCAAGGAGCAGAACTATTTTCAGACTTCTCGCTGGTGATCAAGTATGACAAAATGCTTGTATGTAGCTGCTTGCTTCAGGATGTCTTT